GATGATTACGTGATGAGGACCGTGCTCCCAACTCCTGTTGGAGTTAGGAGCAGAAGGGAAGTGAGTCTCCAGGACTGAACTTGCCAGAGAGGAAGCAGCAAGGACTTGAAAGTCCTGCCAAGGTCCAGGAGAGGAGGAAAGATTTCCAGGAGAGAGCAGGCTGAGTGAGGGGACAGAGGGTGGCTTGGGTAAAGGCATACAGTGGGGATACAATAATGGCAGTTAATACAAATGAACATAATAAAATTATTGTTGACAGTCCATCTGCTCAGGACCTGGTTTATAACAACCTCAGCAAGGTGTCTTCGTTCTTAGGTACTAGGACCCCACCTTGCAAAAAAGGTTCACTCAAGTTAGGGGAGAGAGTGTGTGAGTGGCAAGATTGAGCCAATCGGCTAGTGGGAATCAGGCGCCTACATTCTCCAAATGCTGCATATGCATCTCGTTTTAGTTTGGGGCCGTAAGTGATTCTGAATGGCTTGGGCCATTGCGTTCCTTATACAAATACCCCTTAGATTTTTATTCCGTCTTACAGGCCGCGTTTCCAGACAATCCTTACATCTCCATTACCCATGGAAAATCATCTCTAACATCCGTGACGCTAATTAACACACAGCCTCTGGTGTCGATCCCAGATAGCTAAGTGGGACGCGGCTTCTGACTGGAGTCTCTGAGGTGGTAACCAGCCACCTGGAAGGACAGACTCCAGTTAGGATACTAAGATGTTAACTCACCACACCTAGCGTGTACGTTAAAGCCAACACGTATATGCTACACGGTGCCCAGGTATTTTGAATTGCAAGTGATAAAATCAGAAGGCAGAGTGCTCGAGCCCTGAAGGAACTTTTAAATTATAACTACAAGGCATGCTCTTTGTAGAAAATCTGAGGAAACACGTATTCACATATTGAAACTCTCCATATTCTGTACCCCCAAATCACTTTCAGTATTTAAGCCTTTTCTCCTATCTGTCTATCTTTGCATATATAATTGATTGCTTTGAACTGAAGGATACTTGGAATCCCATAATACATTTGCCTTTGAATCTTACTTTTGTGGCTGAACAGATTATGATTGTTTTTCTGGTTCCTCCAGTGCTGTTCATAACTGTGAACTTCATGGTTTAAGACAGATGGGAGAAGACAGGAGGAAGAGACACCTGAGGAGGAGGAATTGACCAGCGTGGCCAGGGAGTTGAGTGTCGGAGTTGAGGGAGAGGCCGTTAGGGATGACTCTTAGACAGCTGGGCTAACAGGTGGGGCGTTATCTCTTTCTCCAGACAGCAGTGGGGAGAGAGCAGGTTAGAGGCTGGTTTTCCCAGTTAATGCAGCAACATTTGTACAGGTTTACAGATGTAATTTCCAGCCCCCCTCCTGGTTCTTGCTTCCATTCTGCTTGTGTTGATTCCTGTGTTGACTTCCTGGAGAAACTTCTGATATAAATTTAGATTTTTCTTTAAAATGTGTTTTTAGCACACAGAGGTGTCATTTAAAAGTCAAATTCATGAGGAAATATTTTTTACCTGCTGGGTTTAATTTCAGATGCCGGTGTTATCATAAAAGACAAACCACCGCAGACTGTTTTAAAACTTTGCATGAATGGTGCAAGTTGGAATTAAACTTCTGCAGATGGGGAGAGGAAAGGGGGAAAAGAAGTGTTTTAAAGGGTTGGGGTTTTTTGATGTTATTTAAATATTAATGCTGGTTGAGTTCAATTCCCATCTTCTTCCTTTCCCCTAAAGTCGAAATTCATCTGTAGCTTTCTAACTTTCCCTTGCTGTACTTTTTTTTTTTTTTCCTTGAAATGAGAGCAAATGGTTATAACATATTTGACCCTGGGAAAGAAAAATTAAGATTCCATATGAAGGATTTAGATTAGATCAAAAGGAGAAATGCTTTCTGGCTAGAGATGTTAGAATCAATTACTGAGGGAGAACAGAGCCTCAGATGTTTTTGCCGTTTACTAGTTGGGTATAACCTTTAGTCAGTTAACTAATCTTTCTAGCCCTTAGTTTTCTCACCCGTATCAGAGGAGCTAAAAATAGAACTCTTCTCTTAGGTTATTTTGAGAATGACATAAGCAGGTATATGTGAAAAACATATAGAAAATGCTAGACATGTAAGTGCTACGTACTGCTAGTTGGCTTGGCTATTAAAATAAGTGAGCTATAAAAAATACTGCTATTTTAATATGGTGGTGCAGTTGTCTCTCTGAATCCATGGATTGTACACCTGCAGATTTGCCTAACCTTGCATTAAAAATACAGTATTTAAAAAACCCTATGGATGGTTATGTCTGCAATAAACATGTACAGGCTTCTTCTCCTTGTCAGAATTCCCCCAAATAATACTGAATAAGAACTACAATAAGTGGATTACCCAAGGGGATGTAACCAACTGGTCAACATACGGAGGTGGTTGACTTAAGGAACTAGCTACACCTCAAATAGGTACATGTGGTGCCTGTCTGGTCTGAAATCAGGTCAGCTTAAGGAGGTGGCCGCCTGATGGAGGGTCTGCTGTATTTGCACAGATTTACATTGTGCTAGGTGTCACAAGTCATCTGGAGAGGATTGTGAAGTACACGAGGTATTATAAGTCATCTAGAGAGGATTTAAAGTATATTAGAAGATGTGCATGGGTTAAATGCAGACACTGTACCGTTTTAGATCAGGCACTTAAGGCTCTAAGGATCTTGGTACCTTTAAGGGTCCTGGGACTGACCCTCCTGGATACCTATGGAGGATTTACTACCTAAAGAATTGAATACAGGAGGCCTCCAGGCTTACATCACCCATTTGGCATGTCAGTCAATACCTATCTGTTGGGGTCTGTTTTCTACCAAACCTTAAGGGGGGCCTGTGGGAATGAAGAGAAATAATGTATTGAAGGTTGCTCTTCTGCCATCCAGGAAGAGGGAATCACCCCCAAAATATGCTTGATGAATCTCTGTCAGTCACTTAGGGGCTCTCTCATTTGATCCTTGTAACAACCCTCCAAGATAGCGGTCATCATTTCAATTTAGGGATGAATAAAATGAAGCTTACCCAGAAACGAGCCATGTCAAGTTCATGGCTAGTTGGGTGCAGCCTCTGAATTTGAACCTAGATTCATCTGACCGCACAGCCCTCTTCCTGCTACGCTTTCCTCTCCCGAGACTCTTGTGTCCTGGTGGTTCTCATCCTCCCCGCCCAGCACCGTTGCGTGTAACACCTGTTTCCCATACTTAGAGGAGAAACTTCCCTGAGGGGACTTTTCTCAAGTCAGCATTCTTTGTTCAAGAGGATTTTGCTTTTTCAGTTTTACTTTCTATTCCATAACCTTCCAGCCCCCTGGTCTTTCATCTGTTTCAAAAGAAGTCCATTTAGAAAAGCGTGTCAGAGTGTTGAGAGGCAAGCCCGGCACTGACAGTGGAGGTCGGCCCCATTAGGTGTTTATTGCCGGCAACTCGCTGAAAACAAACTCCCAAAGCTTGAGAGCACTGCCTTTGGTTAGAATCCGATTCCATTTATTCATTTACCGGACAGTTGTCAAGCTCCTGCAGGGGACGGAGAGTATGCTCAGTCTTCGGGAATGCAAGGTGGATCAGATGGGGTGGGTACTTGTCTTCTGGAAACACTGAGGCAGGCCAACCAGACCACTGTCACAGGGATTAAAAGGGTCCCAACAGAGAGAAGGACTCAGTGTAGGCATGTACAAGGGGACACCCCAACCAGCTGTTTCATAAACATCCATTCTTTAGGAAGCCTTTTTTGTAGCTGTCTGCAAAGGGTCGTTTTGCTCTATTAGGAGGCTCCATGTGGCTTCATCTCTTTACCTGTAGCTAGTGTGACATCTGTGTTAGGAGGTGGGCAGAGATGAGGCCTCGTGGCTTGTTGGTTTTATAACTCCTTTGTGAGTGGTTGGTTCCGTGATTTCCAGGTCATGTCATCTGGTGAAAGATTCCAGGCTCTGTCCTGTCTGTGTCAACCTCCCTCTTCTGTGAACCCATCATGCCAGTCTTCTGCTATGGACTAAGGATGGTTTTTCTCTAGGCCAGGGGTCCTCAAACTTTTTAAACACGGGGCCAGTTCACTGTCCCGCAGACCACTGGAGGGCCAGACTACGGGCCCAGGAAGAGTCGGCTGCTAAGCAGGACAGGCAGCGGTACCAAAAACACCCGGCGGGCCGGATAAATATCCTTGGCGGGCCGCATGTGGCCTGTGGGCCGTAGTTTGAGGACCCCTGCCCAGGCTTTCTGTCTCGTCCTGTCCCTCTGCATGTTAGAATGGTCCCCATGCTTCTCTGGACCCCTTCTTCCCTATTAAAGGTACAGACTGTGAAGGTCAAGGCTATAAGTATGTTGAGGTTTTTAGCTGTGATTGAGGTGCAGTGTCAAGCAGATGGGGGTTGTGCCCATCTGATCTCCTTGCCTCTGTGTGTGCTATTGAGTTGGCTCCAGTGCCTTTCCCGGCACCCCTTGCCCAGGATACAGGGACCATACTGCTGTCCTGATTGCACATGGACTGGTCAGCACCTCCAGCTGGCCTTCCTCAGTGGCCCATGCAGATCTCAGCCATCACGATGCTGTGGTTTTGTTACGTTGGTCTCTCTCATTGGACTCTGCAGTTTAAAGCCGTTCTCTGTTCTACTCTTCTTTGAAATTCAAACACAGTATATGGTCAGTGCTTGGTACATAATAGGTAGTGGCTAAATCCTCCTTTAAGTGTGTTTAAGTGTGTCAGTTCAGGCCTTGAAAGGCTAACCTAGCGACCAAAAAGTGTGTGTGTGTGTGAGAGAGAGGGGGAGAGAGTCAGAGTCTGAGGGTCTCTTCCAGTTTTTGTTATCAACTAAACCATCTCAGTCTGCGTAGACTGCAGCATTGTCCCTTGGGATAAAAGGCTAGCAGGAAATCGTAGACCAGGTGACCCCCTTTTCAGGACTTAGGAGTTATTTCTCATCTGCCATTTGCACCCATTTCTAGTGCTAAGAACTCAGCCCTTTCTCTTCCTCTCTTTTCAGAAAGTATTATGAGGGAGGCCGAGGACTTCATGCTCCGGACAGAGAAACGGCGCTGGCATTAGGGATTGCCACCTCCGAGAGGATGCTGGGAATCTGCAGAGGGAGACGCAAATTCCTGGCTGCCTCCTTGAGTCTTCTCTGCATCCCAGCCATCACCTGGATTTACTTGTTTGCTGGGAGCTTCGAAGGTAAGAACGGAAGCCGGAGTGAGAGGGAAGGAGGGAAGAAAGGCTGCCGTGGAACCCTAGAAAAAAATCCCCCAAGCCACCCAATTCCAGCTTTTCATTTTGTAGCAGCACGGGATGTTGACACCCGGGCGCGGGAAGCGACTCGCCGGGGTTACACAGGTCGTCCGAGGCAGTCAGCAATGTGAGGTGGGAAAAGGGGAAAACAAGAGCCAAACAAGGCACACCTTGATGTGGTGGGGGGTACGCGGGTGTCAAATACCCGTTTTGTCACGTCGGTCACTGTGTCAGTAACGAGGCAGAAGTCGGGCCCCGGAGGAGTCCCTTAGCTGCTCACAGGGCCGGGTGTGCCACCCAGCGGTCCGTCTCTTCATTCATTTACGCGCACATTCAGTGCTTTGTCATCACTGGCTCTGAAAGTTCAGAGATAACGGATCTGGACACCGCGGCACAGTGGAGCAGCCAGGGAGGTTCCGGCGTGGTGGCTGCACGAGGTGACATGTGTTATGATAGGGGAGGTGGGTGCCATGGAGAGGTTCATTAGAGCTGTCAGGCCGGGCTGGGGATGAGCAATGATCAGTCATGCTGACGGGCTGAGCACAAAGGATTTGTGCTCCCCAAACAAATAAAAACAAATGATGATGCCTGCCACTTTCCAGAAATAAGTAGAAAAGATAAGACTTGCCATTTTTTTTTTTTTTTCCAGCTAGCAATTTCAGAGACAGGGACAATGTTCTGTGTGTGGAGGATGGTTTTCTGGGCTTCAGGGAGGGAGGGAGTGGCAGTGTGGAAGACATGACTTTCTTTTTTATGTACCTTACACTTGAATTAATAAAAAAAAAATTTCAAATGAAAATCTGTCTGAAGGAAGTCACTACTGTGTTTTTAAACATTTCCTTTATGCATAATTTTATTGACAGCTCAAGGCTACCTTTTAATTAGGAGCTCCACTTCACTCTCTGAGATTCGCCTTGAGTTAGCTAGGCTGAATATAAAACAGGTGGAGCTGTGCACCTGTGTGGGAGGGAGGGCTTAGATGCCCAGCCTGGTGCCAAGGCCCAGTGCTGTGTCCCAGTCACCGTTCTGCCCTGTAGACTCTTCCCTGGAGTGGCCAGGCCGTCCTCTAAGCAGCTAGAGAGGGTAAACTATGTCCTGGCAGTAGATGGTTAGGTTTTGCCAAAGGGACCAGAGAGAGGAAGAGGGGGTGCTGTTGATCTTAGAAGAGAGGAAAGGAAACATTCTCCTGTAGGTTTCTTTAGCGTTGCCTTTTGGCAGGGTAACTAAACTGGTGATAATAATAATAATGTAACCAGGATAGTAATGAAGGGGATGGTGGTGATAACAATATAAACAGCCAGTATTTTGAGCTGTCTACCTGTCAGACATTGTTATAAGGACGTTACATATATAACTCTTTCTTCACAATGTTCCTGTGTGGTGGGTGCAGTTAATATGCCTATTTTATGGATGGGGAGGATGAGGCCAATAAGCTTTAGTGATCTGCCCCAAGGGACCAAAGCCAGTCAAAACGGAGCCTGGGTTGAACTCAAGAGCTTGAGTTCTAAACTCTGAGAGCGTGCTATGCTTTGGGGCTTCAGTGAGCTGTTAAACTTCAGCAAGGGAGATGCTAAGGGGTCACATGATCTTCCCGGTGAGAGAAGTTGCAGAATTTTTATTTGTGCTTATGGACAAAAAGTCGATCTAAATAGATTTTGTCCAAAGGGGAATTTGGTAGTTCATATAATTAGTAAATTCAAAGGCAAGGTGGGCTTCAGGCAGGGCTCGATCCAGGGATTTGTAGCCAGGTTTCTCTCTGTACACCGTGTTCTGCTTTTGTCTGTCTCATTTCTCTCAGGGTGACTTTTCCTGTGCAGAAGTGGTTTGAGGCTTCCATCCTCTCCTCACCAATACCACTAGAAAGAGACTTTCATCCCTTTCTCCTTCCCTAGTATTGCCTCTGACTAGATTGCCTGTGGTAACACATCCTGAATGCCGTCTCTATGACTGAGGGAGGCTGGAGAGGGAGGGTGGTACTTTTTCTTAGCCCTGAGCCTGTGCTAGTTTCTATCATAGGGCGATGGAGAGTTTCCTGAAATACATGGGATGAGATTGAGGGAGGGGTGGACCCCAAGGGCAAATGGTGTGATTTCCCAAAGAGAAGAGACTGAGGTTGATCTGGGTTTGGAGAATTCTGCACTTGTGGTCTGACGTTAGTTTGAAGGTTACTTGGAAGCTACCTGGTGGAGCCCTGGCTGATGGAGCAAGTGTGATGGGTTATCTTAGAGCAATTTCAGCAGCCTGGCAGATAGATTACAGCAGTGTCTTCAACCTTTTTAATCCATGGCACACTTGAACCTATCTATAGTTAAACTTCTGTGGCACACTTAAATTACATTGATCAAAATAAAGAGTAAATAAAAAGAATATACTGACTGAGCTTTGACTGTCTTTCAAAAATAATTTAATGAATGATCTTTGAGAATTTTCATGGCACAACTACGATCCTCTCTCAGCACACTGGTTGAAAATCAGTAGGTTATGGGAAACTGGGCAGATGGAGAATATCCATGGCAGACCGGGTGTAGGTGCTGTATCTGTCTACATAGTAGGTAAGAAGAAACTACTCTGGGGACCCAGTCACAAACTATATTAAGTAGGGACTAGGTCACGAGGGAATATCCATGCAGTATTTTAGCTAGAAGGACAGAGGCAGTGGGTTTCTCTTACAGAGTATCTGTTAGTGTGCAGTTGGGCTACTGCATTTATTGTGGTCCCTACGTTGTTAGAATGATCTAGACAGGTCAGCACACTTAGGACAATCCAGGTGAATGACAGGGCCCATTTAAACTTGGTTACATGGAAAATCGTGGGAAGAATTGGGGATGTTTACCTTGGAGAAACCAGGCTTGGGGGTGTATGTGAATAGCTACCCTTAACAGTCCCAGGGCTGGCCCTTGAAGGAGAGGTTAGGACTGCTCTGATGGCCCCTGAATCTATGGAGGGATATGTCCAGGTGTCCCCCTCTTCATCATGAAGATCACTCCGTCCAAAGCTGCAATGAGCCCAGGAGGTAGTGAACCAATTGATGGGAGAGACGTAGAAACAGAGGTCAGTATTAGAATGGGGACAAGATGACCTAGCTGGCCCTGCCAGACCCAGAGATGGCTGAGACCCTGGAAGAAGCTGAGTATTTATCAGGAGACAGAAGCTGTACCTTCATGAAGCTTCCCGCAGACAGCAGTGCATTTCCCAAGGGCCCTGCAGAAACATTCTTCTGTCTGTAATTAAACATCACAATGTTACGATTCATTTATTGACACCCTTGAGTTTTTGGCTCCTGGCAGGTGAAGCCATAAATAAGGGGTGGCCTTGCTGCCCGTGTTCAGGGAAATACTATTCATACGTTACGTGGGTTTATTGTTCACTCCTGTTTAGTTTCAAAGGATCTCCAGAGAGCAGAGCCAAGGTGCTCCGTCCGAGATGCAGAAGCTCTTCACATACGGTTTTGGAGGTAGAGGCTGCATGCCCAGCACAGGGTATTCAGTGAGAGGTGGTGGGAGGTGCGGAGGTCACGTCTCAGGCTGTAAAATAAGCCCAGCCAGAGCAGCTGGGGGACTTGGGGCACAGCCACTCTTCTTTCTGGGCCTGCGTGTCCTCCAGCCTGAAATGAGCTTGTGAACATGAAGCCCACCTACCGAGTCACTGTCATTCCTCCCGCAAGCTTTGGCTTCTGAGCATCTGATCTAAGTAAACTGGAAACGACCGGAATCCTCTCCAGTGAAGGAGGACTAAGGCAACAAGGGGGAGAGGTTTCTTGTGACTTTCTCCCTATGTGGACCCTGGGTTGATACATGCAGGTTATGGGGAAACAGGCATTGTTTCCACGTAAGAAAGGGCGCCTATCCCAACAGTGCACTTGACCGGCAGTGGAGTTCTCCATCCCGGAGCCCTGTGACCATTGGTGAACGGCACTGATTAGGGAATGTTTGGGGTGGCCCTAACCCCAACTTCTTCCTTCATTGCTTCCCCATCCAGCATCTCAGCAGCCTGTCTTTCAAGCTCTGAACTGGAGAGTGGTCATTCTCTTCCTTCTCCCTCGTTCCCTTGGTGGCTCAGCTGCCGCATGCTGTTGGCTCTGAGCATCCTGGCGGCTGCGTCTGTGGTTTCCCGTCTTTCACCAGTGCCGTTGCCTGGCTCTGCTGTTCCTCCCGTGTGAGCAGGAACAAATGCAGCAGGCTGTTCTCCACCAGGTCGCCCTCTTCTTCCAGAGAGTGGCCGGAGCTCAGTCAGAGTGCTGCTCTGCTCCTTGTCAGCCCCTGGCCGTCTCTTAATCTCCTCCCCTGCACCTCCCGACACAGTGTCCTGCATGCTGGCCCAGCCGTGCCAGGTCCTGTCACGGGTCCTGCTCTTCTTTCCCCCCGGGACTCTGTTGTTCTGTCTCCCTTCTCCCCCTGGCTGCTTTGATCCTCAGCCTCAGCTTCAGCACCTTGCTCTTACCTTTAACTCCTGTACTTCCCCGAAGGCGCAGGTGCTTTTTGCTTGCTTCACGGTCTCCGGTCTTCATGACCGATTAGAAGCATCCAGAGGGAGGGGAGCAGTTCTCGTCCATTCATCCTACCATCTCCCACAGCGCCAGAGAAGAACTGATCTCCAAACGTTTGTTGCATGAATGAATGAGAGAATAAATGGGCCCACCTCTGGCTTTGAGTGCTGACACATCGTTGCCTCCTGGATCAACTCGGGGCTTCTTACCCTGACTCTGGGGTCTTTTATCATCTCGACTCCCCCCAACCTATCATTTGTGTCTTCACTTTGGGTACATAGGTTACTACCTAAGTTTTGAGACAGCCTGTTATGGTCCACTATTTTACTTCCAAAAACAGTGGGCAGCCATCCTTTCTGATCCATCTGCGCAAGTGCCGCCTTGCTTGGCTCATCAGTGTTGCTGGGAGGACTTCATTTGTTTCAGTCAAAACAGATTTTACATTTCTTTTTTTTTTTTT